TTTCACAGTTTCACAGGGAATTGGAGATGATTACAGCAGAATTCGACGCAGTGCGATGTAATTCCAATGTGTTTTTGGATGCTTTTTGTGCCTCAGAGTCATTGGTGATGTTCTGCCTGTAACTACCCGCATTTGCAGGAAGAGAAAGGCAGCCAGGCCATGTTTCATACCAGTCGTCTCTTGCCTTCTACTCCCCGGTTTTTCCGGGTTCTCAGGTGCACCAGCCATCTGCCGTTTCTCACGCGTTCCACCTCCCAGACTCTCCCGCTCTCCGCGGGGTGAGCTCGCTCGCACGAGCGCGGAGGATAGGACGTTGCTCTTCTTGGACTTTGACGTCTCGGATCCCCGTGCTGCCCGGCGCTGGGCCTGGGCCCAGGAGCTCGGGTCCGGAGAAAAGCGGACGACCTGGTGATTGGGGGCAGTGTCGGTGTGGTCAAAAGCAGAAGGTGCACACTGCATAGAAATAGTTTCAAAGCGGTGGGATATGGTTGGTTGATGGACCCTTCCATTGACCCGTGGGTGGAACCTGCAATACTTCCTCTCCAAAGATGGAAACGGTTCTTTTTTCTTAGTACAGTCACAAAGACCCACTTCCATTTCAGGGAGGGTATCCATTCCATCCTTGCATCATCAAGAATCAAGCCCAGGCCCCCCAACACTTCTCCTTTTTGGCACCGAACGACGTCGTCGTCGTTGTCGTCGCCAGGTCTTGAGCCACAAGATGGCGCTGGTCTACGTGGTCGCACGCTGGCCTGATGCCAGTGCTGCGCCCCAGCGATCCCCCGGGATTCGCCCGGCGGCGGGTCACGGCGAACGATGAGGGAAGATGAAGGATGAACAGAACTGAACAGACTGAACGCAAGCTACAAGGGTGACAGTTTGTGAAAGGATGTGAAAGGGTTTTCCAGGTTTTTGACCCAGAGCCATATCTTCACAGATGCCCTGAAAGGAGGTGAGAAGCATGCGGATCTACCGAGTGCTGAGAAGTTCCCCAAACATCCCAAGTCCCAAGACACTGGGTCTCTTTCTCGGGGTTGCCAAATTTTTTGGGTGGCTAAGGAGCATCTCAATGCATAGCTAATAACCTGGCAGCTTCGGAGATTGGAACACACCGGACTGCTGGGCCAAACTTCTGGACTGCTGAGCTGACCTGACTATCTTGAGGCGAGAAGCAGGCTGCAGCTTACTTCAATGAAAGAGCTGTGAGACACTGAGCTGATCCGACACGGAGCCGTCCACAGCGGTGACGGCCCTGGGAGAAAATGGCCCCCGAGAGAGCTGAATGAAGCGACAACGAAATAACGATGCCATCGAAATATGCAAGAGGTGCATAGAAGTCCAGTGGTGGTTCATATATTATGCATTAAGAGACGACTATTGCAGATTTACGTGGTTAGAAGCTATATTGGACAGTGATGAATTCAATAACATTGCCAAACTAGGCAGGGGGATTCCTGAGACAGCGCACAGACCCTTCGACCGACCGTCTCCACGCTTTCAGGTGGCCATTCTGACACGCGAAGCCGGCGCCCACCCGGAGGTCGGCTCACCGGTGGGCCGAGAGTAGAGAGGAGGGGTCCACCAGTCGGGGTCCGAAAGTGTTGGACCCTTCGGACGTCGTGGCCACGGTTTGTGGCGATTCATTCTGGAGCTGAGAAGTGTGTGGTTTCCTAAATCAATGAGAAGTGTAAACCATGGATTGTTTGCGCACGCACGTTTGAGAGCTAATCTTTTTCCGAATCCGAATCGATGGCTGGACTTTGATCGAACATTCAAACTGGGTGATGTTGACGCTTGCCAGAATCAACCATCAACATCAGCAGAAACTGGTGATGAACTGGTGATGTTGACGCTTGCCAGAATCAACCATCAACATTAACAGAAACTGGTGATGAACTGGTGATGTTGACGCTTGCCAGAATCAACCATCAACATCAA